ATCACACAGTCATTTCACAGAAGTTCTACTGAGTTGTGTTAACTTCCTCTGCATGCCCTTAGCATGCCCAGCTGGAGAGAAGTGTTAGAAATTGGAATGGTTATGATGACAAGCATCAGTGCCTTGGTAAGAAAATACAACTCAAATCATGCTGATTTCAAATTAGAGAAGGGGAGCAAGGAACTATTGTGAGTCTTACTGCACTTGAAGCTGTGGTTCTAAGCCTCACCAAATCATAATGGTGACTGCACTGCATTATAAACACTCCCTTTTTGTAGCAAATCCACTGGCTTGCACAAGAAAAAAATTCAGTGGGAACATCAGGATGGAGAGGAACTTTTCTGTCTAACTCCAAATTTCACTACAATTTTGCATTGGGTCTTCATCACTTCTTGTGTTTCACCTCTGCTTTTCTGCACCCTTGCCTTGTGTAGGTGGAAGGGGCAGGGAAATAAAGGCCAGCCAGCCACAAGAAAGCCCTGGAAGTGAGCCCGAAAGCTTTTAAAGGACTGCCTGTCTTTGCAGTGTGCTGCTGATAACCAAGTTCTGTGTTTCTGCACATGCACACACAAGTTTTAAATGTTAGCTACTCTAAAATGCTTATGGAGCCATAAATAGTTGCTTGTGCTTCTGCTCCATTCTGGAAATGTTAAATAGCTGAACATTTAAATAAAATCTTTTAAATTTGGAATGCTCTTGTCACAATATTGACCTTTTATTTGCTCAGCACTAGGATAGTGGTGTACCACAAAACAAATGGTCTCTTGTTATGTAAATAAGTGTAGAGTCAATAACCACAGACTGTTTCCTATCCTTCTTTCCTCCCTTCCTTTAATAAGAATGTTGCCATTTTCCTCCATGGTGCAGAAACTTAATTGTCATGCAGTTTTATCGAAGGGTTTGGTGAAGAACTGAAATGCCATTTTGTTTAAGTGTTCAGTGTGGATTCTTATAATTAGCTATTAATATAGAGAAAGTGCTTGTCCTGGTAATAAAATACATGGTACTGAAGGGACTCTACTTTTGTGTGCACTTTTCCTAGACAGGAGCAAATTATTTAAATAAACATTTGCTTTGAGGGGAAAAAAAAACACCTTCTTAAAATAGAAATAGCTGTACCACCCAGGTAATAATCCAAGACAAATGTGCTACTGATAGAGGGTGAAAGGATGAATAGCTGGGAGTCTGTTCTGTGAATACAGATGAGGCTGTCCAAAAGAGAATAGAATACAAAATGATACATACTAGGAAGTTTTATTAATGTTGCAGTGGTGAACTCTTGCTTTTTACTGTCAAGTTTCAGAGAGTAGAGCCAAGCAAATGGCAGAGCTTGATGGAAGTGGATGCAGCCAGGGGAGCCCATCCATGGCACACCAGGACTCTGCTGTGCTCCAGTGTCGCTCCCATGAGAGACTCTTGGGGAATCTGATGCTCATCCTGGCTGTGAGGAATTTGCCATTCAGCCCGTGTTTATTTTACAATAAAACTGTTACACAATCATAATAAGGAGCTCCTCCCCATCCTTCACAGCTGGGCTGTTGTATAAATGTAGACTGTAACCCCAATTCTTATTTCCATACTTGTTCCCATGGCTTAGATTGTAAGAGATGAGAGCAGCCAAGTTTATACACTGAAAGGGGTAAAGAGAACCTGAGACAAAACAGGGAATGGCTGTTTGCTGGGAGGAATTACATTACAATGTACCTGTGGGCTGCAGATTCAAGTAAACAAAAAGTGTTTTCTCAACAATGGGAAAAGTCTGTTCTATTTACACTTGCCATTCACACTACTTCTGTAGGCACTGGTCTTTCCTAACAAAATATAGAATTCCCACTATCTGAAGGTATTGCAGTTCTGTAGAACAGAGTGGATATTGGCAAACTATGGCTGAAAGTTTGTTGCAGGTCAAGAAAACCAAAATAAAGTTTGATTCTTGAGTAGCAAGCAAATCTGAGTATGAATTCCCTGTGAAGGTCTTGGTTACTAGGTAGTTATAAAATTAGTAGGGAGGCAGATGTTTGTCAAGTAATTGTAGAATGCTCACTCAGTAAGCAGCTATTTTATGGAGGAAGTTTTAAGTTACATTTCATGAGAACAGTTGTTAAATGTTCATGGAAACGGCATGGTTAATTTTACACACATTAATTGGAAACCATCGTCATGGAAGCAATGAATGAACATAATTTCCTTTTCCAAGGGAAAGGGTTGCTGCAGTGAGATAGGAGGTTACAATTATAATGACAAGCAATTGAAATTATTTGAAACTAATCTATTCAAAGTTAAACATTTCTGAAGTTTCTGTGTTTTCCATCCATGAGCTGTGAAAGTGCTTTGTGAGCTTGCCTCTCCTCCATAATTAGCAGCAGGTTACATTGCTTCTGCTTGATAAGCCATTAGTTATTAGTACGGTGCTAGATTTGCCCTTGTACCAAATGACCCAAAGGGGAAAAGCTGTCTGATTACAGTAATAATAGCTTTTAACAATTGGATTTACTTAGCTAGATGTTAATTGATCCACTTACAACCTTCTGCAAAAAGAGTTTTGAATGTTACACAAGACTGGAGAGAGCTGGAGGCAAAAATCAGAAGACAGCTGGTGAATTAAGGGTTATGAACTGCCAAGTTCTGTTGAAGGAAAACTACATTTCAAAAAAGGTCTCAGTCAGTGCTGAACATTAAAAAAAAAATCCTGTCAAGTTTATCTGGGGATAGTGGTGTGAGCCATCACTTTATTGCAGTTATTTGTTTGTTCTGTTGCTCTCCTTGGGGCTGAAGAGTGAAAAGATGCCTGGAGGGTGTCCATGATTATGAAATCAATAATTAGAAACTTGAAGGAAAAAAGTTTCTGTGCCCAATAATATTTCAAGGAAAAAAAAAATAAAAATTACTGATGCACTGAAATTTGGCAACTGGCATATCCTCAACCTTGTGTAAAATGATAAACAGTGTTTAAAATAGGCAAGTATTTGCAATTCCCCTTAAGCAGAGAAGCATTTTAGCCCAAGATCCACAGGTTTCTGACCCTTTCCCTCTCCTACACCCTTTTAACCTTATTTAATTGTAACCAGTTTTGACCTGTCCCACTCCAAGTACCAGAAAAGTCAATCCCCATGATCTGGTGGTCTGTCTGTCTGTCTGTCTGTCTGACAGGACATCTGTTCAGCTATGGACACACAGCTGGCTGGCTAACACACTCTTCCAGGACAGAAAAGCAGCTTCTGCATAGACCTAGCTGATCAGACTCAAGTATATTTCCCAGAGTATATTTCCTCAGCTGTAAGTATTGCCAATAAAAAAAAATATGGGGGAACTTAAATAATTTCATTGCACATCTGTAATCCTGAGTGGTATCATCAACAGCTGTTGCAATGGTAACACAAAAACTGATGTGGAGAAGGAGAGTTATTCACCTATTTATCACATGGGGATGCTTAAGTCTTCATGGATAAAATCTTCTGGGTGCTTTCTGAAGTAAAGCGAACTCCAAAACTTTAGAAAATTGAATTATATGTCTGTTACAGCACTCACAAGATGCAGCACCATTGAAATAGCAGAGTTCAGGAAGTTTACCATCCCTGCTGGGCTAACTGCAGACTTTGCAATGGCTGTTTCTGAAGCTCCTTTTCTCCATGCTGTGTCCCTGTGCATGGCAGGTTGGAACTGCAGGATCTTTGAGGTCCCTTCCAACCCAGGCCATTCTGTGAGTCCGTGGTTCCAGGATTCCATGTTAGACCAGGCTCCCAGCTTTCCTAAACAGGACTAACAACAGTGCATGTTTTAGAACAGGCTCTGGTTAGTGGAGGATGGCAGCATTTTAGCATTTACATGTCTAAAATGTCTCAGCCAGCACCGAGTCCCTGGGGAAGGCAAAAGCAGGGCTAAGCAGAGGAGCTGCAGAAGAGCAGGGGAAGATGTTCCCATTTCAGAGCAGGGAAAGGGATGTTCCCATTTCAGAGCAGGGAAGGGATGTTCCCATTTCAGAGCAGGGAAGGGATGTTCCCATTTCAGAGCAGAGAAGAGATGTTCCCATTTCAGAGCAGAGAAGAGATGTTCCCATTTCAGAGCAGGGAAAGGGATGTTCCCATTTCAGAGCAAGGAAAGGGATGTTCCCATTTCAGAGCAGGGAAAGGGATATTCCCATCTCACAGCAGGCTCTGCTATGCTGATTTTCCCACTGCCTGAGTCCCTGAAAATGGATGCTAACAGCTGTTCCAGGAGATGCTGGGATTCTGGGTTACATGCTAAAGCTTTGTGAATTTAAACCTTTTTGGATTTGATGTGACCTGGTGGTGCTCACTGTATCCAGTGTGCTGATGGACTGAAAACCTGGCAGAATTATTCCCCTCAGTAAGGTTTAATTAGTGTTCTGATTTCAACTGCCAGGCCAAGGCTTTCCTACACTCCATCTGCACTAGAACATGGGACTGTGAAGGGCATAAAAACATCTGCAGATGATATTGTACAAAGCAGTGCTGGTCTCATCTGTGTGGTGTGTGTACAGTTATAGACAGTTTCTAGCTGTGATCTTACTCTCAGTGTCTCCAGAACAAGGAAAAAAAAAAGCATGGCCAGATAATGGGTAAAGCATTTGGTGAAGAACTGCCCCCTAGCCATGCTTTTGTAAACACTGTTTTTCCAAAGTATTGATCCATAAATTTACTTGTTTTGAGAAATCAGATTTTTATTTTTGATGGGACACTTCCAGTATGGAGCTACTCACTGGAGCTAATGGTAACATCCTTACTGGCTTTAGTGAACTCAGGATTTAAGTGCAAGCTGCATCCTACAGCTCTAATTTGCTTCCCTACAACTGCAGCTCACCATTTGAAAACAAGGCTGAGGCTCTGAGTGATGCCTATTGAAAGTAAAAAAATAGCTTACAAGATCTAACCCTCCAGCATCTTGTTTTATACCTAATAGTTCTTTTTCAGCATAGTTGAGAATTATGGTATGCACACATTTAGAGAGTTTAGTATTTTTAATTGGCATTTCTAAAAACAGCTTTATTTGCAGTCATTTTTTTCAATTTCCTAAAAATATTTTATCCCAACTATACAGTTCTACTGTGATCTTCATTTCTGTGTTTGTTCTTGTCACTGAGGATGCTCAGCACCAGCATTTGGAGAGTTGGTGGCAAGTCTGTAAATTCTACAGTTCTTCACTCCTGTGGAAGCAGTAGCTCACTGCACCTTCTTAAAGACCTGCTTGCATGTGACTCCACACACTCTTATTTCCTAGGAAGAGAAAGTAATTAAAACCCACAATTTTTACATAGGACACAAACATTATGGATTCATGTGTATGTCCAGCTGAATTTGAATCCACAATTTTCTATTAAATTGGATTGGAAGGTTTGTACATATTTAAGCCTATTTTTCATTGTAAAAGAAACCATCTGGTTTGGGTTTGTTTTCTGCTAAAAGGTGGAGCAAGGGAAGATATTTTGGGATCTCTGATCTTGAAGGGCCAAATATGTTCCTGGTGCATTATTCTCTATTTGCAGTGAGTAATATACAACTGCTTTAGGCCTTTGGAATGGGCATTTTCTATTTTGGATACATAAAGAAGTGGGGATGGATTTGCCTCACCAGCTCTGTATATGTGTGGTGGTGACTGGTAGCTCAAGCCTACAGATTCAGAAATCAGAAATTTAGCAACACAGAGCTCATGGCTACAAAAGGCAGGTGACAGCAGATGTGCTCCAGGCTTGTCCACCTGCAGTGAGGTTTGGCTGAAAGCCCTGGATGCATAAAGCTGTTCCTTTGAGCTCCACAAGAGCTTTCCCAAACCATTCTTGCTGATCTCTGGATCTCTGTGAGCTGGGCATGAGTAGGGGCAGAGTTTCCCTCCTGGGTTGGGATTTGCTGCTGTTTGCCTGTTCACCCATCCCCGTTCCCGAAACTCCTCAGGTTTGACCTGGGAAGTGAACACAGGTGTGTGTTCCTGTGGCAAGGTTTAGGTGCAAGAAAAAAAAGAGTGTGGAAGCTCTTAAAGGACATAAAGACAGTATTTATGCATGACCTAGCAGAAGGGATGCACTTTCCAGTTCAAGATGAGACTTTTAATAAAGCTCCTGGAATATTTTGCAGAAATTATGTACATTTCTTATGGGGGACTTTGATAAAATGACTTTAAAAACCCTTAAACTAGGTCAATAACCTTAACTGACATATGTTGCTCGACCCCAATAAGAGCAAGTGCTTCATGCTGAGTTGGTGGAGCAACAGACTGATGCAATGACTTTAGTTAGGACCTGTTCTGTTCACTCCTGCAGAGGTAACCCAGAAGATGGAGTTTGGAATAAGGGCTGAGAGACCAGCTGACAGTGAAAAAAACTATGGAGCAGAAGCAAACACTACAATAGAAAAGGGCAATAAAACTTAAAAGGAAATGGGGAATGGTCAAATAAGTCACTCGCATAAAATAAAATCTAAAAGGAACTACACAGTACAGACCACAGAATGAAATGAAGAAAATAGGAAGTGATAAACTACTAAAGGATGTGGCCCTACTCTCTGCAGGGCTGTGAAAAAAATAAATTAACACTTGGCGTTGTTTAAAGTTCAATAGGATCATAAAGCTATTGAAGTATTAATTCTTTAAAGATAACTGCTCATTGTATCATAGAACTCTTAAAAGGACAGAACCTAGTGATCTTAGCTGATCAAAAATAAGATACTAAAGGGGACTCTACTGTACTTTTAATGGAGAGAGCTGCATTAACAAGGACTGGAGAAATAAAGGGGACATCATTTGAAATTGATGAAATACAAGAAGTGAGAAAATTGAAATACTGAGGAGTAGACTCTAAAATACTTGGTTACTTCCTTTGCATGAAATAACTTCTGCATACATGGGAGACAGATTGTGGTAAATTTTCCAAGTGCCAGTGAATGAATGCAGGAGCTGGCAGGTATGATCCAGAATTCTTCCCAGCCTTCTGAAGAGCAGCATCAGAGTAGTCAGGTTACTCTGGGCTACCTAAACTGGCACTAAACACAAGTATTTGAGCAATTGAATCTGAGTTCCTGACATCTAAAATCAACCTCCAGACGGGGAGTCTAGGAAGTGCTCTGGGCATGGAGGTCCATGGCCAGGCTGTGTGGCTAGAGCAGGAATCAGAGGAAGGATAGCAGAAAGCAGGCTTGAAGGAGTTGGTGCTGGGGACAGAAGATGGGAAGAGAATGCCTGGGAACTAGCAAAGGCCAGCAAGCAGGATGCCAGTGCAGGGAAATCCAAGAGCAGCTGGTGCTATTGTGTGCATGTGGAGGAGAATGCCCAGATGAGCAGGACTGAGGGCAGCCAGGTGTGAGCTGAACTCAGGCCAGGCACTGTGATGGGTAACAGGACCTGGCGTGGCCCTGCAGGCTGTGCAGCTGGGAGCAGGGTGGAAGTGCTGAAAGGTGCTGCTGGGAGTGTGCATGCACAGGAAATCCAGGCTTCTCCTTCTCGCTGCTGCCTCTCCTCCAGGTGAGCCTTGGCCTCAGCTCACTCACACAGCAACCCTCTCCCTGCTTGTGCTGCACCAAGTACAGGTGGGAAGATCTATCATAGCCATTCCTCTCCTAAACTGGATTCTGGGACCACCAATACTTCCTCAAAATGACCTTTGGTAATAAGGGGCTTGGGGTACTGCTGCAAAGATTTCCTAACTCTGCTACTGATTTGAACATTTAGAAGATATCATTTTAGACTGCTGAATGCTAATAGTACTGCACAGTGAGGAGAAATGGAGGTTGGAGTTTATTATCCCAGCAGGAACACTGCCTTTTACCCACACTGATGAGAGAGTGAGGATGCTATAAAGAGATACAGGACAAAAGAACAGGCATCTTCTTTCAGGTCCTGTTCATTTAGAAAGATAAAAATGATGATTTGGAAAAAACCATCAATTTCAAAAGCTTAACTGCCGTTTTAGTTCTCTAGGCTATAATGTAGTGTGGCCTGTAATTATTTTAAAAGAACAATGATGTATTTTTCTCTTATTGTTGGGTGCTCAGTTTCACAGCTCCCATACTGAGTATTTTACAGACAGTGAGGTGCACTCTGGTAAATGCTTTCCTTGTGTGAACATTTCAGCCTGGTGAGTCTGGACAGACACTGAGCACAGAAAGAGCATTTGAAATTGTCAGGCTTTGTAAGGGATGTAAAAACATAATGTCTCCAAATGAAATTGTTGCTTTAGAGACAAGTCAAATGCTGCACCAGTACACAATCATGTCAAAGCAAGCCAAAATGACATAGCACATTCCCTACTATGTTATAGCTAACCATTTTAATGGAGGGGCATTCGAAACTGCTGACATGATCTTACCAGGTGCATTTCATCTCCTTCGATCCACTGGGTCCAACCACGGCCTTCCTTCTCTCCATTCTGTACACAAAGCAGCTTATCTCCATCCCAAGACACAGTGGTCTAACAAAACAGACATGTTTGGTATTACTGTAATATTCTCTAATATTATGATGAGTTTCTGTGAAGCAAAACTTATCTCTAATGATGAGTGCATCTCATAAGAAGAGAGATTGGAGAGTGTTGTACTACTTAGGATAACTACCAAAGAAATGAGCTTGAACAGAAAGTTGCTGCCCAAATGCCTGCCAAAAACTTGGAGGGATGAGATAAAGCAAGAAAAAAGTATCATCAAAACCATTGTGTAAGAACAGCCTCCTCTTTCCCTGCTGAAAAATGCAGGAGCAGAATGGCTCTGCAGCCTAACACTGCATTTACAAAAGGAGCTGAAAACTTAAGATCTAGTTTGGTTTTTTACACCCTGTGAATGATTCCCCAGCTGCTCTACCTGAAAACAATTCCCATTTCCTGGCACTATGGATGACCAAAGCTTTTGAATACTGAGCTGGCTTTTCCTCATGTGTCAGCCTGCCTTCCTGCACAGAGCAGAGTGGTTTGGTACTTTGTCAGCATCTGGCTTTTTGCAACTGAGGCTGGGGAACTACTCGAGCCAGAAATGGCAGAGTAAGTCAAGAGTCAGGTGCAGTAATCCATACTGCACTTCTGGGAATATTGGTGCTGTCCTGAGGGGTTCAGCAAAACCTGATTCATAAAACTCCTTCACTGTATGTGTGTGCATCCTGCAGCCTGTTCCTCTGCTTTGCATTTACTGACAATTTGCCTTTCCTGTCTCCCTAAGACAAAGAGAAGCAATGCTCTGTAAAATACTTAAAGAGGGAGGAGCAGAGACAGTTTGTGCTTCATGAGGATAGTTTAACATTAGTATTAGCACATGGCCTGTAAATCAGCTTGTTTGAAGGTGCTCTGAGAAGTAAATATGGAATTAGTGTCTACTTTGTAAAAGTCTTCAGCCACTGCTTGCATGTGCAGTCAGACATGGAGAGATGATGAATTCTGAGCTGTCATTAAAGATCACTTTACTTAATTACTGCATCCATCCTGTGTAGTTCCCGAGAGAAGTCAGCCTACATTCTTCCTGCTGGTCATTAAACCCAGTTCAACACTCCAAAGCTATCCAGTCCTATTTATTTCATCTGTCACAAACAGTTAATTCTTAAATGATAACCATGACAGCCACTACCTTTGAATGAGCGCAGGCAGCAGCCTCCTCCCATGGGAAGCTTTAGACTAAACCGGCATGGAAAATGAATCACTGCAAGAGTGCCAGGATAGATAATCATGGGCAAGGCCATGGGATTGATCCCATCAGTCTGTCTGCACTACAAGGGGGCTCTGAGAGACAAACTCACGTGTCCTTGTTAAAGAAATCTCTCTAATTTAGAAAATGCATTCACAAATTCTTCCGTTCTCTTTTGTAAACTGATATATTTAAACCAAGCAGTAGATAACATTTAATGAAATCGTATCTTTTTAATGCAAAAAATGCTAATGCAGGAAGGAACAACATATTTGGGTAAAGCTGTAGTTAATGTGGTCACCATTACCTAAATCCTCTCCCATATCTGAATCTGCACACATCCACTGAAGAGACAGAAGATAACAAACAACAGGAGTAAAAGTGACTAATGTTTAATTTATAAGTTAACATATCTACAAATTTCTGATTCTAAGAAATGAATGTAACAGAAAATGAATGATGATTTGTAGATGTGAGGGATACTGTGGAATGAAGCAATTGTATGTGGAACTTTGCTTAATAACTGCACTTATTTATATCCATTGAGTAATAGCTCAGCATAGTTTAATCTTTAGCTTAACAGTTAAATTTGGTGGGTTTATATGTGAATTCAGAGGCAATACAACATGATAAAGTAGGATCCAACTTTATTAGTCCTACTAATGTTCAAAGTCAGTTGTGAGTGTTACACTGACTTAGTACACTTGGGGGAAATAGAGAAATATTTGTAGCAGCACAAGGAAATGTTAACTTTTCAGCCTCCAAGGGTGATTGAAATTGTTTCATCTCAGAAAACAACATAATTTTTTCTCAGGATTTTTTGTTTTTCCAGTCAAGATTAGAAATTGCTTTTTGCAATTTGGTGGTAACCACGAAGAGTCTAAATCCACAGACATTAACCAAGCTGTCTTATCAGACAATATTCTCAGGGATCCTCTGCTTTCCCTTTGAGAAATATAAATATTGAGGGGATATGAGTAAACCATACAATTCCTGATTTCTGTATGTAGCTGTTTTGCTCTGAATGTTATAAAGGGCAGAACACATTGCAAGAGAACATAATGGGATTTTCTTTGTTGGCAGGAACTATCACTTTATGACAGTAAGATTGATCAGTGGCATATGTATCCTTTAGGTCAAATTGTAATGTCTCAATGTCTCTTTTATTAAACTAATACATAAAATACAAAATTCTCTTTTATCTCAGATTTAAACATGTCCTTCCACCCCAAATATCTCTCCTGAGACACACAGTGAGTGTTAGCTGAGGCTGAAGTTGCTCTGGCTGTTAATGTGCCCTGGCTGCTGTCAACATTCCACCCTCTACAACATCTAAAGCAGAGCAACACTTGCTTTACAACATTCCCAAATATTTGAATCAGAACATAAAAACGATTCTCCAGAAATACTGTAGGGCAAATTGCTGTATCAAACAGCAAGGATTTATTTTTGAGGACGGGATCAGGATATTGCCATGGTGTAATCAGGAGCCAAGCACTTGCAGACTGCTAAGGCACTTCTGTGTGACCCTTTGGTTCTTCCTGGCACACACTCCCAAGATAAACAAACACTTTACCTTTTATGTAAAGCTACTTTCCTTAGTAAAGTATGCCTTTGTAATGAGCCTTGTTTGCCCCCATTTTGGTAATAGCATTAGCTAAGGGCTGCCTGGTTACAGAGCTGCTGCCACCTGCCCGAACAACTGAAAACCCTTGCCATGGTTTGGGGGATGTGGCAGCCCAGGCACACAGCTCCTGCTCCTTGTCCTCTTCCACGTGAGGGGGACAGGCAGACAAACTCCAGGCACACAGAAAGCTGCAGCTTCCAGTAACAGAACCAACTAGCTGAAAATGGAGTATTATTTCTCTAAAACAGAACTCTTGACTTTTCGAACATCTTGTACTACTTGATAATAAATGGAAGACACTGTTTATTCCTTTCAACTACACAGTACATAATCTAACTCACCATGAGCAAGCTTAAATCTTGCTCACTTCCCACTTGCTCATACTTAACCCTGAGATGAACACTTCCTAGGTCAGGTGCATGTAGTTCTGTAGGAAGCCTCAAGAGAGAATGGCAGTGAGTGCAATCAGCCAGCAGCACTACCAATAGTACTAAAAGAACACCACAAAAGGTGACTGAGGGAGGGAAAACCAGGCAGTCTTGCCTCATTTAACTCTTCCCCAAAATTCCAACCACCAATATTGCACATTTTTCAGATTATGTACACTTTGTTCTTGAGGTATATTAGAGAATGGAGCTCTTCTGGGAAGTGAAAAAGCCTTTGAAGCCAGAGAAAACAAAAAATGTTTTTTTTTATTTTCTTTATGTTTTTTTAAATTTTCTTTAGTTTTATGGTATGGTTTCTGTAGTGTTTCACTTTTTATGTACTTTGATATTCTCCTTTTACTACTTGGGCATCCACATACTTTTGTTAGTGATTTAATCTCTTTGTGTTATGAAGTTTTAAATTTATATGCATAGCACCACCTGAATCTTCCTGAATATTAAAGTTGGTGGAAATGATAATTAAAGTATTCTCATTACTGTTTCCCAGTTATGAGACATGGTGGATTTATTAAATGAAGTATTTAGTAACCCCTAAACAAATTACTGACTATGTATCTGCTTTTTCTTTAGCAGCAGCAACTGTAGTGAAATGTTGCACAATTTCAGCTTCTGGTGGCAAATCATCCTGACCCACAGGTAGAGACAGTGACTTTTGTAATTTACTGAAATAGTCATCAAACCTTATCAGGGTACTTTGCATTTCCCAGTGAGGTCTAAGTGCAAAGACATTTGGTGCTGGTTTCACAATATTCCTCATTCCCCTGCTGGCAGTTCCTGTGTGCCTGCCTGGGTCAGGGGCTCAGCAGCTGAGGGTACAAAATGGATTTTACAGATGAATGGAAGAAAACAACTTTTTTTTTTCAAGCAGTTCCTGAACATTTTTTTTAATGCTGCATAGATTTTTGACACATTACCTTTACAAGTATGAATTGCAGCTCCCACCTTTCATCAAAAATACGTTATTGATTTCCTATCTGTAGCAGAAACACAGCAGCACCAGTTCTATTTTTCTCCTGCCTCCCTCAGAGTGTTGTCTCTATACATGGAGCACCAATGACTGCAAAGCTAGGTGTGCACCACACTCCCTGCTCCATCTCTATCCAGTAATTCTCTGCTTGGGAGAATGACAGCCCATTTTACAACTGTAATTATGTAATTATGATCGAAGAAGGATTAAAAAAATGGAAAGTCATTTTTTTTTAGATCAGATGAAACAAAAAAATCCAATTTGAGCTGTGTCTTGTAAATAACACCAAAGAAAGTATCCTAGAACTTTTGGTCAAACACAGCAATATCTCCAACAAGGTATTTAACAACTTCTCAAGATAAACCATTTCATCTGTACTGAGTACAAAGTGATATAAAAACCTCTTGTAAGCGGTTTTTTGGGGTAAAAAATGAAGTGCTGATAGGATAAACTCCTTCTGATGTCCCAGACAAAGTCCAGTATAGCTGTGAAGGAGAATTCTGCCAGGTGGTCACTCCCTACAGCCTTTATGCAGGAGGCTGCTCCAGGGAGTACAGCCATGGGGGTCACCTCTGCCCCTGAAACCCCTTTTGTCTCGTCACATCTGCATCTGGAGGTTCTGGAAGAAACTACGGAGAAAAAAACAAAGCAAACAGAACAATTTCTGGCCTTTATCTCCAGATCGTGGTGCTGGCCAAAGGCTGAACCTATTTCACTCTGCTGCAGCTCAGTCAGGGCAAAGTCTCCTTTGCTTTTGTCATGGCCAACATCTCCAGGGGCAGCACTGCTGGAAAAGAGGCTTAGGACCGGAGTGAGAAGTTTTAGATGAAAGGTAAGCTGCTGTCATATAGGATCAGACCCTAAATGTTCCAATTCCTTATTTTGAATCCTTGCTCATAAGAGCAACAGAGCAAAGCAAAGACAAGGCATGTTCCAGGGACTAGGAAAGTGAAGCTGCAAAGCTCTGGGCTATGACAGTATGTGGGGGGAGGTAGAGAATCAATATTTTAGACAGTGCATATTGCTCTATTTCTTAGGAATAGGGGCTTTTTTCCTCACTGAAATAAAATTGTATACAAATAATACAAAACTAGGAAAACTTGTATATCCCATGCCAGAAAAAAGAGTAAAAGACATCACATCCAATTCACTCTGTGCAAAGATCAGAATCGATTCTAAGACACTTACTGTTTAAATTAATGGCTATAACTAATTTATCCCCTGTGTAATTTTAGCAAGATGCTACTGCACATAACACTAATGGTTTGTCATTCAAAATCGGATTTGTTAAGTCTGGTTCTCAGCTTTTCAGCTGATTCTGATTGCACTTTCTGCATTCATAACTCTCAGAGCTTTTTAGAGTTCACAAAAAGCTGAAATGCTAAACCTACTCAAACCCACTTTCCCTGCAGAGCTTCCATATGCTAGCAGCAGTTTTGTGAGTAACCAGCTCCAAAGCTTCTAATCAGCCTCGTGGTTTAGACATGAATCCAGCCCTGCAAAATGTGAAGTTTATGACATTTCTATGGCCAAAGATTCTGATCATCTCATTTGCTATCACTGTTCAAATGTGCTGAGCACATCACATCCAGGCAGTAACTAATGCCCAAGGAGCAAGCAGGGTGGGACAAGGCAGGAAAAAGGAAACTCTTCCTCCTCACTGAGGCACAGACAGAAGGGACCAGAGTCCATTGTGACAGAGATTGAGACAGACCCAGCTACCTGGAGTACCTGGAGCCTCAGAGGGGTTGTTGACTGGAGGACTTTTATTCTTGTTGAGAGCAGTTTGTAAAGGACGAGAAATACCAACAGAAAACTATCATAGTCTACCTCTTAAATTACACCTCCCTCCCCCCCAAAATAAAAAAATCAGGGATTACGCCAATGAGGAGATGGGGAAGTTAGAGTACTGCAAAGAGACAGGAGGCACTAAATCTGAGAGAAGACCAGCCCCAGCAACAGTGATTCTAGAATAATGCTTGTTCCACCAAAGTATAGGAGAAAATACAAGCCCAAAAGGGTAAAGAAATAAAGCAGCTAAATCAGAGGGATTGAGTAAAGACATATTGCTGATCTTGCATCTTACTGGACAGGCACAATTTATTTTGAATCTTCTCACCCTGTGGGAGATCCCTCCTGCAATTCCATGAAGTGGAATGTTGTTTATTGGTTGTTGTTTTTCTGGCAGCAAAGTCTTAATTCCCAGACCTGCTCAGACCTAGATTAACACCTGTGAATTCCATTTGTGTAACAGAGGAACCTGCCTAAATAGTTAAATAAGCTTCAAGGGCCATGTGATTTTGTAACAGGGCTTTATTCTGACCTTGCAGTGGTATAAATCAAATTATGGCCAGAACAACTACCTCCACTGCAGTTTTCCTGAAAACAAACCTGAGAGGAATCAGTGTCACATTAGGCATGTTTGTTAATTAAAACAGAGCCATGATCAGTTTTGAGCAACTTCCCTCCCTTCAGCAGGATTTGGCACAGTCAGGTGTCTGTGAACAGTCCTTGTGTGGCTGTTTCAAACACTAACTGACATTTCACATGGTAAGATGTTTTCTAGATCTGATGAGGGAACTCTACAACTCCCAAATCCTCCTCACCCTCCCCACCCTAGCAAGTTTCACTTAGGACTACAAGTTCTGTCAGTTCTAATAAAGGAACCCTAAACACCCACTTGTTAACTTATTCATGGTTATACCCCACTTGTATTCAGGTTTAGATAACTAAATGGTTAGGATGTATTATTTCCCACATTCACTTTAAAATTCTTGCGGTTTTCTCTGTTTCCCAGCTCCCTGCCTTTGTCATTTCATTTCCTGCTTCAATGGAAGAAGAAAATTACTGTATCAGAGAGCACAAGGTTCTGAGTTACCAAAGCACCTCTCATATGCTTGGACAAACACTCAGTTATAACACAACTGTTCTCAGTTATCCAAGAAATTCTGCTCTTCTATATTTAGAACATAAAATCTTTCTTGATTTTTTAACAGATCACTTGCCCTTAAGTTTCTGTCAAAAGAGATTAATTCTGCATAGTGTAAGATAAAGCAATTCAGGCTTTCAAATGCCTGAACAGCAGAGAATAATTACAATGCAAAAGTCTTCTCTGACTTTACCAGCAGAATCATTAGAAAACTAAAAATTTTAAGAAAATAATTTTTGCATCTGAGCTATTCAATTTTCAATCTGCTTTGATTCACTGAATGCAAAGACTTGCAATGTGAAACTTCAGCCTTCATATCAGTATTTTAAGGTTTTTCAGTTAACTTTTTCATAATTTCTCTATGAAACACTAAGCAAATTACACTGTGAAGGTACAGAAGGCTTATGTGCCTTGTTCCTATGTGCTGGTCCGTATTTCACATTGTAGATGTTTCACCAGCTTCACTGGTTGTGACAGTGAGAAAGAGAAGCACAATTTCCTTTTTTTGCACACACACACACCTTTGTAGTAGATGTTTTGAACATTGTTATCTTTGATGGTAATTTAATCACCTCAGTCTTGAATCTTTCCTTGGGCTCATAGCTGTTCAGTGAATCTGGACCTCAATATCCTGATTGAGAGCATTCCAGCAGCCCAAATCACACAATGCCACTGGGGCACTTTCCTAAACACAAATGCACATACTTTCAGAGATGGGTTTGGATTAATTGTTTCAATAATGCTTCCTCTTGCATGCAAAGTAAATTTTTTCCACAGTAATGCTGATATAAATGAAACAAAGTTTCATACTTAGAGCAACACCTGAGATGGTAAAAAAATCACAAATTGAGATTGTAGAAATTCACTTTAAAATTGAGGAGATTTAATGATGAGACTGGAGCTTCACTGAGAATTAAGATAGCAGGATCAAAGACTCAGTGTGAGAAATACTAAAGCCAGAGCTCTCCATTTAACTTGAAATTTCTCTCCTGGTACATTCTCCATTTGTTAATATGTTACCAATTAAAACTATGAACAAACTCTTCAAAGCAGTTGAAACTTGACTACATGCTTCAATTCACATCATGTGAGAAAAAATGTAACCCAAATTCATGCCCTAAACTTCTTTCTACACCATCTAATGTACACTTTGGGACATCTAAAAGAATGAAAGATGTTCCTGAAGATGTAAACTTTCATTTTACATTTGTACTTGAAACTGCCAAGTTTTTAACAACCTGAATTGTTAAGTATGATTGAAGTTGCAGGAAGATCTCTTTCACAAAACTGCCAAGTGAATAGATGAAATTTTTATCTCAGAGTGGGTGGAAAGCTCAAGGAGCACTGCTACCATCATTTGTGATCTCTCCTGTGGTCAACTATCTCCATCTTTGGTTTTGCAGAACACGGAAACTGCATCTTTGACTGAACTGCAGGGCTTTAGAGTTTCCAAAGTATCACATTTTCACTTCCCAACAGAAACAAAATCCTGAAGCACCTGATGTCACCAGCTGCTGTTCCCTCTATCCCTCCAGAGAACAGTCACCCAAAAACATGTGTATGCAAGAGAGCCAGGCTGAGGGTCAGAAAAAGGACAAACTGCAATTGCTGAGGTTTATCCTTCTCAATTAACTCCCTGATGCAGACAGTTCAGACAGGCTCCCAGGAGTGACCATCTATAAAACTGAAAAAAACCTTAATCGCAAAGGAGGAGAGGGCTTGTACTTTCCTAAGAGTATAAAGTTCCTAATGTCAAAACTTCAGCTTCTAACATAAGTATCAGCAAAACTTTTTAGCCCTTCCTCCTCATGGACAGTACTGATTTGGAATTACTGTAGTTACACTCTACCCTGACTGGCCTGAGGATATGTTTTACAACTGAAAGGTGAACACAATTTCAGTGAATTACACACAAGATCTAACCTGTCCACCATGCTGATACTATTTTTTCATATATGTTAACTCTAGCTAGATGACATATTCTTCATTAGAAGAAAAAACAATCCATACTTCTAGGAAGGATTACTTCTAAGGTTATTTTTGCTAGGCTCCTGATGATTGCTCTGCTGTATAGATTAATGTTTAATGTGTAATTTGTCTTATCCATGTTACTTTGTACTGCTCATACATCGAGCTCCTTGGATAAAACTTGCTCAGTGGTCTGCTCAGTCCACAATATAAATAACAATAATTGATTCACAACCTCTCCCATTACACAGGCTGACTATTAATGATTAAGCCATTTATGGCATGCAGTTCCACAGGCTCTACATGAACAAATGGAACATGAAGAATGATATTCAACCTTTGATTTTATGGTGCTATTCTTTGTACCACCACTCAGGGACTGGCCCAGAATCTCTTGTAACCTCCATGACTCTTCTCTCACAAGACTCTTTCTGCACTGTTGGAGTCATTTTGCTGCTTAACAACTACAAATTTTGCCTGGCATTATGGTTATAAGATTAGGACTGAAGTCACTTCAGAAAGACAGCTTCTTGTACTGTCTTGCTGTTGACAAAACAGAGGTCTCATGTAGAAAAGAAATCTTTAATAATAAAATTGAACTATAAATTGTGATGTGCTGCTACAAGGCAAATGGAGTACCAGTGACCTGAACTGTCCAGCTACAGCTGGAGACCACAAATGGAGATCTCTTCATGGTCATGGAGACCATGGAGATCTCTGGGGGGGGTCTTGTGGAATTACATCCCTCAGTCCTTAAAAAAGCCCAGTCAGAGTCAGTGACTGCCCCTGGCTATTTGGGATGTTTGTTTGTTTGTTTGTTTGTTTGTAACAGGCAGGAAGGTGCTGATAACTTCTGCTTCCAAGGTTGAAGAAGCATTTCCCACTAAACAGTAGACAGAGGAATGTCTGAGTAACCTTTGAAAGTAGGCTGAACTAGGTTCTACTCCAAACCAATCAGTTGTTGCAGTGATTGAAATTATCTCTCTCTAGTTTCTTCTTTCTGGTTTAACATTTTGAATCCTTCCCTTATCACTCAATTTAGCAGAACAGGGTAGAGAATTTTGGCTTGTTAAAAATAATAAAATATTACTTCTTTCCACCATGCAGAGGATGGTTTAGTTCTCCTTCAAATGGGAGTTTAATGATATTCAAGTACAGATAATGCTTACACAGGGACAGTTCTGTGCACACACACACCTTTGTGGCAGATGTTTTCAACATTGCTATCTTTGATGGCAGTTTAATCATCTTAGTCTTAAATCTTTCCTTGGGCTCATAACTGTTCAGCGAATCTGGACCTCAATATCCTGATTGAGAGCATTCCAGCAGCCCAAATCACACGATGCCACTGGGGCACTTTCTGAAACACAAATGCTCCTCCCTTCTGTCCGTGGTGTATTCTGCACTCTCATTAAACTTGTACCCTCTGTAACAAGGACTACAGAGGGATTTGCTGAGACACTCAGTAAGTGACCATTCTTTTTCCCTGGTCCTCCAAGTTTTTCCATTTCCTGCAATGATCAGGGCAAAAGCAAATTTGCAAATCTTAGTGTGAGAGAAAAATATTTCTATTTAAAATAGCACTATCTTTCTCAGAATGGAAACCTATTAATTCTCTTTCATGAGATTCTTTATCTAGAGTCCCTCCTGAGATAATTTTGTCAACTTCCTCACTGTAGAATATTGCCAGTGTCAAGCTGTCAAACTAATAGATGAGAACTTGCTATTCTCAAGTTTTTCCCCTGTAAACTGGTATTTATCAGTCCTAAGTTAAAATGCAAAAAGTGCTCATAAAACAGAGCTATTGCAAAACAAAGTCCTCAGTGTTTGCTTATTCATTTCAGTAAGATTTGTTCCAGTGGGCTAATTAAGTGTGTGCTCTAATAAATACACCCAGGCAATCTTTAAGCACTTGGCTATTCTCACACAGGAGCAGTGCCTGACCTTGCAATCAGTACATTTCCTCCAGTGTGAAACCTTACTCATTAAAGAGGTTCTGGAAGTGACCCTAGATTTCTTTTTGACTAAGAAACATCCCACTTTAAATGAGCATAGCTTCACTGAGGTTATTATTCGCTGATTGATAAAACTGCTTTGTGCTCCTGGTGAAAATTAGCATTCCTCTAATCCAAAGGCACACTCACAACTGCAGGTACATTGTGGCAAACTGAGAAGTACAGAAATGATTTCAGGAATAGCCACTTGTGTTCTGTGAAAGGCCTCAGGTTGTCAATACTCCTTTTTGTCCATTGTTACAGCTCTACTTCTTACCATGCACTTGCGATCGTCCACCCCAGATAAATCCTCCTCAAACTCCTTCCCTACATCAAATTCCATGATGTAGTTTCTAAAAGTGCTTAGCGTTTTAATGATCATATGATCCCCGTTCTGAAGGATTTCTTTGTCAGGCTTCAGCAGGTTTGCTATTTTTCTTACAGCAACATTTACATCTGAAAAAGAAAGGAGTTATTTTTATCGAGAAAAGTCTTCCCCTTGTTGCTCCTAGGGAGAACTGAAATGAACAAAGATAAACAGATGTCCAAATCTTTCAAACCAGACTTCCCATCCAGAAAAAAATCTGTAACCTAATTCTTAAAACTTAAATAACTTAATGCTTCAATTTTCTGATTATGTGGAATCTTTAAAAGATACCATTTGTATTTGACAGTTAATAAGGTTTACAATACTTCTATATAGATATGAACACAACATCGAATACAAACACACAAAATTGCATTAAGAACTGCATTGAATCTTTATTAAATATAAAAATTTTACTGCTTTTCAAATTATAGGAGTTTTTTTATGCTTGGAATCCACCACTTACCTCTTCAAGCTATGTAGTTTAATGTCTTTTAATGTAAGCTTTAAGATGGTAAAAAGTAGAGGCTGCTTAAGGCAAGTCAATTTTGCTTAAGGAAATCCTTAAAGTGCATTTCTGAAAAAAATACTTCTCATAAAAATGACTTATGACTGTACAAGAAAAAACAGATTCACGTAAAGAATAAGACAGGTGGCATTTATTGATTATTCATTCAAAAAGTTTGAAGGGAACCTTACCCAGTGCTTTCAGATACTCCTCAAAATTGTCATTGCTGACCATTTTCCAATAGCCATTGAAGTCTGCAGGCATCCCTGCTTCAGGTGATTGTCAAAATCACAGGCTCTGAGCTGTGGTTGATTATGCACCACACAACTCACTGCCTTGCTTTGTGGCAAGTTTGAACTCTGCTTTCTTTTATCTCTTTTTTAGACCATGGGGCTATGCAAGTCCTTCTAATCCGATTATTGTTGAAGTGCTGCCTTTAGATCCTTCCACAAGGCTGAACCTGTGAGATTTCAAATGACAGCAGGATGACTTGATTTAAAATGAATGAAATATTCACCTTTCACATCACTTGTGTAAGGGAAATCCATTTTAACTGTATTACTCTTCATTCTTCATGCCACTCAGAAGAAAACCCCTTTCAAATAGCTTTAGGATATTAGCCAAAGCTATAAAAGCGCTTATCTTGTGTGTTTTTTGAGACCAATTCTTCTTTCTTGAATAGGTTTCAGCTACTTTATGCTTTCTTTCAAGAAAAAATCATACAGACCCTTTCAGTCAAAGCCATTTTTGTCTGGTATTCCTTTGACTTGTTCCACAAGCTTCTGAATCAGAGAACCACCAGAGGAAGCTGCTTGGCCAGCTGGGGGCTCAGAAGGACCAGTCTGGTGGAAACTTGTATTAGGAAACAGTGGTTACTCTGTACAGTGATAAATGCTACATCACTGCTGCACAAATGCTTTCAGTTAAGGAGCTCTGAAACACAGAGAGAGCACTTTATAGAGTTCTGTATTCTCTGAAAGTGACTCCTGTCAGAAATGAGAGACACTGAATCAGCATAGCAGGCAACCAGCAGAGAGGAGACGGGTTTTCCCTGCTAACATCAGAGCTCAGGTACTGAGTCTCTCAGATGTTTGCATATGGTACAACTGAAGCCCCTATTGGATATTTTATCTACTCTGGGGCTTTGACAATTGCTTGCTCTTAAGACTCTGGATCAGAGAAGAAAAGAAACCCACTTTGAATGTTGGGATGAGGACTGTCATTTGAGAACCTGGAGCCCTAGAAGCAGCTGAAGTAGTAGCATTTTTAAGTGCTTGCATGAAAGAAAGATTGATTTCCATATCTTGGTCAAATTGCCACAAAAATCCAAAAAGTTATTCAGGGTCTTATAAAGTCAAATTTTAGAAGTAATATATATTTACATGTATCTCTCTCTCAAGATATGGTTCATTGTATTTTGCTGTTTTAGAACAGTAAGGATTGCAGAATTACAAATTAGGAAAGCACTGTCTTTGACCCTTAAGTCGTATTTATTGACTTATCAAAATACTAAGAATATTCATGGTGAAGATCTCCTTTCTTTCATTTTCACAAGGAAGCTGTTGTGTATTTTAAGCTGTACAGCTGAGCATCCCAATTTTCTTGAGCACTACCACACAGATTCATGGCTTTAAACCACCACATGATTCCAAGAAATTTTGGACTTTCCCTTCATCATTATTAAGAAACAACTTTCTCAAGAAATCTGCATGAGAAAGCTCCTGGTCTGACACAGCACACAGTGCAGAAATCAGTCCCTCAGAGGCTTTATTGCTGTGTTTTGCAGCCTGCAGGGCTGCAGCAGGTGCCCCTCGTTCCTGCGCTCGCTCTCGGCCGTGTAGACATTGTGCTGTGCAATGTAGGCAATGACAGAGTCTGGGATGAGATATTTCACACTCAGCCCTCTGCACAGGGCAGAGCGGATCTGTGTGGCACTGATTTCATTTTGGATCCACTCTCTCACCAGAAAAATATTGTGCTGAAATTTAGATAAAAGGTCCAATTCCTGTATGAACTGAGATGGATCAGAGCCAGCCCGGCTAATGCAGACCAAACCAAACTTTTCCACTATTTCTTTGATGTCTTCTTCCTTCCAGAGATTGGGTGTCTTAAATGTCTGTAGAAAATCAGCCCCACAGAGCAGCTTTAATTCTGGTAGAACTGGAAAGACAAAAGGAAATAACAGATGTCTTATCCTTTCTCAGTCTTCTAGGAACTTTATACTTAAAATTTATTTTAACTCATCACTTTAATTATTTTTTTTAATTTAATTTTACAATAATTTACCTTTACTCCAGGCTTTTTTTCAGAAGATTGCAAGAAAAATTCAGTTTAGGTTTTTATGTGTCTGGTCACAATTACTTTATCACCTACTTCATCATCCCTCAAAGCATGCTGAATATTATCTATACACAGTTAGAGGATAATTTTTACTCCACTCAAGCAATCCAAAAAGGGGAAGAAGTAAGTAAAGAGAAATACTTTAGCACAAAGATTAGACTTGGTTGAACCTGGCTACTCCACATAATACTCCCCTGCTGTTCTTTATTGTCCCTATTTCTTATTTGCTGTTCCCTGCCTAAGCCCCAGCACAGAACTCTCTCCTCAAACTTCTTCCACAGCACTCATCATTATTCTACCTTGAGCGTTGTACAAACATTGACCAGATAGTTTCACAGCCTTTGTATTCATGTGAAATGAAGGGGAAGGATAGAGGTTTGCCTTCACTTTACACTTATTTGATGGTTAGCACATCTGCAAGTCTTCTACAAACACCTTACAGGATAGATTCAGAATGTAAGAAACATTCCAGTGATGATGCTTGAAAAGCGTGACTTCTTTCCTCCACCAGCTGTAAAGATACAACTCCTCAACAACCAGGAACAACTGAAATGTATTATTCATGTCCAAGAGATGCTACAACACTAGAGGAAAAAAGCAATGTATCAAAAATCCAGCAGCATCCTGGCAAGCCATAGGGCTAGGGAAGATGATTAGATAGGAAAGTGAAAACTGGCATTGTTTCCAGAGCCTGCCGTGCCTCTACTGCCAACAGGAGCTTTTCTGGCCAGCAAACATCAACATGGCAGCATCACTGCTGTGGTACCTACACACTCTGTCCATTGTCTAACACTCCTAGTAGAATTACAGTAATCCCTGTATTTTCCATATTTTTTATTCATGTATTCTGTGCTTTGCACAACACCCATCTCTGGCGGGCCACAATGTCCACCTGACAGAGCTAGAGAGATGCCTGTAAAACCAAGAATTAACACAACTCCAGGGTCTCCTCTCTGTGTGGGAGCTATAACAAAACAACTGCCCCAGCAGCTTTGCTGGCATTTGGCATGGCTTGGTTTTGGCACACAGCTGCAACCCTCAAAACTCACCAGCTACTATGTTCAATTTTCTCACAACTAATCTGGTAAAGCTGTACAGTTTTTAATGCTAAACACAGCATCATGTTTGCAGCCATGAACCAACCTGGTTGCTGGCAAGAAAAGGAATCCACCGTAGAGCTTTCTGTGGGATGTTTGTTTCTCATGAACTCCTTCTTGGACTGGAACGCTCTGAGTGCTTCGTTATAATGGTGCCTGCATTTAAAATAAAGGCTTCTGTGTGAGGTAAATCCTCTCAGAGATGCAACAAAGCGATTACCTGGCACTTTCCCATTCCAGCAGGGGGTCTACTTTTATGCTCCTTGGATTTGAATACCATTTGTTAGAATTTGGCACATTTGTCCTGCCATGAGATTAGTACCAATGTAGTTACATTTTGTGGAATTCACAAGCAATCTCCTTAATGGCACTGTAGTTTGTAAATCCTTTTTGAAGTTCTACCATTATGGCAATTCTGATAGCTACTGCATTTAGAACATATTTTGCTTGAAACAGGACTAAATCTCACTTCAATCACTAGATGTAATTTCTTGACTAAATGCAACCCCTCATGGTAGTGTTATAATGTGTGCTCTGTTTTGAGGAGGAGATGTTCTCGGTCCCTGTTCTCCATAAAAATATGTTCCCTGAGTTTTCACCTTGCTGTTTTCTCGTTCATTTTAATTAAAAGAAGCACAATTCTGAGGAACTAAAAATTCTCCTAAGATTTTTGACATCTGCTGTGCTTCTAATTTTACTGAGTTCAGATCCAGGAAAGCAGGCAAGGATCCCTTTGCAGGTTTTTCCAGGTTTCTGCTACTTTATCCTTTCACCACTCCCTGATTTCACTGATCCCTGGTGCCCCCCTGCAACACTGGTATTGCAACCTCATGGCAGTGGCCTTTTCTTTCCAGATCAGCACAGCCTTGCTTGTTTAGAACAGTCCCTGCCTTGCACCATCCTGAGCCAGGCCTAAGTATTGCTCATATTTGCACAAACCAACACTTTCAAAGATACAAGCTCCTGGTCAGGCAGGACAAGCAGACACAGAATCAAGGCTGTGTCCAATTTCTGTGTAGGACATATAGAGCCACAGTGACCATCAGCTCTTATTGACTGCAACAACACAGAGGTTCAGAGTTCCAAGGAACAGTCTGAATCCAGTATGTGTACAAAGCCCCAGCTGATCCTCAGAATGTCTTTAAGGAATGAATTCACAGGTTAGTGATTTAAAAGTGCACTCTTCAAATCATGGAAACACTTTAGCCACAAGAATTAGCTGCATATGTGTCAAGAACCTACACCCAGCCAGGCTGCAAAGCAGCCTCCAGCGATTTCTGATGCTCAGTCACTGGCCATAGAAACTGCACAGCCAAGAGGTGAGGCACATATGGCAGCAGAGAGTGGGCACCAGGAGCTTGGTCTGTGCCTTCCCACACGTCTAATTTTAACCCTGCCTTGCTGTAAACAGGCTGGTGCTATGTATAGCCAGGCACACTGACTGTGTGTCGTGCTCTAACATTCTTGGGCCGAGATTCAAAAACAAGAATGCTTGGCAAAGAGCTCCCTGCAGGACCAGTGTTACAAACACTGCAAAATCTGAGCTGCCCCAGGTCGAATCAGCAGTTCAAGGGCTGGAGCAAGTGGAGTTGCATTACTTTAGATACAGCGAAAAGAACAAACCCATCTGCCAACTTCTTAAGTGTTTTCTGAACTGTGTATGAAGCTTTGAGTAACTACAGAACTAAATCACAAGCACAACTCAACAGAAGTTGGGTAATGCAGATCTTTGCCAATTTTTAATTACTCTGTAGTATAGCTGCACGCCAATCAAATCCACAGGAGCAACAAATGCAGTCCTTTGCCTACTGACAATACTGTTTCCTTGTCTAGGAATACTCACAAACAGCAAAGTGGAAAACAGCTCTATTATGTTCCCTCCTCCTCCTCTCTAAGAAAAGCATTGGGATATTCTCCAAGATTTCTATACTCATTTAATAAATACCACTGCCATAAGTGGGATTTGAGTTTTGCTGCTTAAAATTCTTTTATGTCACAACTACTTAGGATCCTCAGCAAAATGCACAGGTTTTGATGAAATGTGTCATTTTTATCGTGCTCAGTTAAAACAAGTACTGTAGGAAAAGGCCATTCATGTGTTTCAGGACTAAATGTTCTACTGTAGGTAAGTGTGCAACTCCAACTACTGATAAGAAGAGACATTTAGGTAGAGTAATGATTTCCTCTGCCTTGCAATAGTAAAGTCTCTTTCTATTGGTACTGACGCTTCCTACCTGAGGGAACTTATAGTGAAGGCAGCAGTTAGTCAGTCCTTGGCTTTTTGAGGAGTGAACAACCTATAGGTTAGCTTTGAAAGCATGTGAAGAACAACAACTCTACACTAAACCATTGCCTGTTCATACTTACTAAATATCTTCCAAAGCCAGCACTTTTTAATCTTTTTTTTTTTCACCTGTGACACTTAAATACAGTGTAAAGCACAAACACCTGCATTTCATCAGAATGCTGCTTCCCCATGCGAGGGACAAGGTTCAGCACTGGATTATGGCACCACTTCAGCTCATTAATACACATCAACACTTGTGGACAAAACAAGATTTAAGCTCATTTCTCTCCTTAACAAGCAGCCATTTTAATATTTTGTGGATTTACTAATAAAGCTAGAGGTTCAGTTTCTAGGCAGATGGGAAGTTTGGCTGTTCATACCACATTGCCTGAGCAGAAGATTGTACACAGAGGTTTTACTTACTGGATCTCTAATACTAAATAACTCTGAAGTGGATTTATAATTCACAAACCCATGCAAGCAGTGCTCACTTCAGTTGGAGCTGTGCAAGACCAAAGCAGGATCACCTGATATGTAGGATTTGGGACTACTTTTCTAGAGGAAAATGGTTTGACTGAACTGAAGTTTAGGACAAAAGCCCCACACCCAGGCAATACTGTAGGACAGTACTTGGTGACATCTCACTCTGGGACATACAGGTATGATTAGAGAAAGAATAGACTTTTCTGCAAAGGCAGAAAACCTCCCACCCTGATCCTGCTCTGCTGCCTGGAGGTAAGGGGCAAAAGGAGCAACTGGATGTCTGTGTTCCCTCAGGGAATAAAATCAGATCTCAAATGTTCTATTTGTATTGTAAGTTTGTAGTGAATTCTTATGGATGCTTTTGTAAAGTAACAGGTCTGGCTTTTACAACTGCTTTCACACAGAGCCACAAGAGCTTTTGGGGCAGCTGTTGGAGGGCACAATTTAGAGCCTTGAACACCTGTGTCCACTTAGAAAGTAACATAGAAAATGGGGATAAAAATCAATAATCAGTGACAGCTCTTACAGCACATTTGCTGCAGACTTCCATGAAGGCTTTCAGATTAATGGTATCTGTTACCTTCTGCAGCACCTTTTCCAAGGACCAGTTAGCACAAGAAGTTTGTGTTTTCACACCCTGCCCCACATGCATTTATTACTATATAGAAAAGACATATTTCAAGGTCCTTGCATCAAGTTATGGACAACTTGTTTAATTTTTCCTCAGCATAAAACCACAGCAAATTCTTGAGATTTCGAAGAAAACATCAGCAGTTATGGGCTTGGGCTTGATTTACTGTTAGAGTTAACAGGAAAACTTTACAAGCATGTGTAAACAGCTAAACCTGGAGGCATAATACTGTACCATAGCTAACCTGGAACAGAGATACTCTTGAAGAACAGAATCATTCTGAACTCTCTTACGGACACCCAAGAAAGGTAACATGAGAGGCAGGAACTTTTCCTGCAGATCCCAGCAGTGGCCAACATTTTGCACCCAACTACTTGAAGGGCACAAGGGCACTACCATAGTTATTGCATAGGTCTGGGGAAAACAAACGAAAGATTCCTGGTGGGGAGTCCTGACTTTGCCTGGATGTTTTAAATGAGGGGCAAGTTCTGTGCATTGACATGGCAGCCTGGCAGATTTTTGGCAGTCAGTAATCTCATAAAGACAGGAAGAAGATAATGCAATCACCTTAATACTTTCACTGTCTCTGTCCACGTGTCCTGCTCGCTCTCCCAGGGATCCACCCGGATCCAGTCAGACGTCTCCAGGGCCAGTCTGGCCATTGCCACCCTGTGCTTTGCTGACACCAAGCCTTTCTTCCCATACTGATCACTGACAGGAGACATTATGCCTTCAATCACCTGATATCTTCCTGCAAGAAAAAAAGAACAGAAAAAAATGAAAATTAAGTCCTCTTTACAGAATCTTAAAATTTAGGGTGGATAGGGCCTTGGGAGCTTACTGGTTAACTTCCACATTTTAAGAAGCTATGAACGACTTGATTTGGGTTTTGTTTTTAATCCATTCCCAGCAATGACAAAATTAAAATGCAAGCATTTTGTTCCTCTGTGAACTGCTCACAATTACCGCCATGCTTATCCTAATAAATGACCCAAAAAAGAAAGCTGGGTAAACAGACAATTTTAAACCATGTGGACACAGTCAATTGCAACAATTGATGCTGCAAACTATCAAAACTGTTAAGACAGAATTAAGTTTCATAGTCCAGCTAGTACAGCTTTGATATAGCCAGAGCAAAGAATGACTTGATTACCCCTCTTTTATTCTTAAAGATCTGGTCATTGTTATTTGTCTCCCATTGTGTTTAAAGCAAGAATTACAGCATATTGCTGCAGCTGTGATTGATGTGGTTCAGACAAATCAGAAGATTCAAGCACAAAGATGGGGCTAATGGAATCTGAAATGAGACTTGGAGCACTGTGCTCCACACATCAGCTCAACAGCCACTCAACACCTTTCTCTCTGGCTGACCATGTTAAATATATTTGACAATATGCCCCTGGTTTTTTACCCCTGTAACACAACATAATCATTAAAACAACAGACTGGTTAGATTTTGCAGTTCTGGCCCCCAAAAAGGAAACAAAAATAAAGCACCACCATCAGCTGCATTCCTTGGGAAACTGAGAGGAGAGGAAGAGTGCTTCAACTGAGCAAAAATGAACAAAATTATTTCTTATGTAACACATGCATTTTAAATAACTGTGATAAATATGATACTGAAGAGGAAAATAAACCTGTTCCTTTTTTCTAATTCAATTATTTTAACAAAGAAACTTCAATGCAGCATGCCACCTTTATTGCTTTGTAAGGAAAGCAATACCCCTGACATTTCTGATACTGGCACATGACAATTTAATATTCTAACACGACAATGTCACTCTAGCAATGTCATATTTATTTTGATGTAATAAAATTTTCAGAAGAACTTAATCAAATTTGACTTAAAAAAACAGCATTAAGATTCAGTGAGATTTACATCCTCTTAAGATGTCAGTTCAAACCATGCTCTGTTTTGAAATATTCTCATTACAGGCAAAATGAGAAAGATGAAGTTTTCCAGAATCATGCAAAGATGTGTATATAATTAAGTCAATCTCTTGATTTGAAATTGGAAATAATTCTGCTTGATTTATGAAGAGCAATTATTCTCTCGTACTCTGGTATTATACAGTGCTATAACAAGTTGTCATTTAAAGGGAAAGAAATTACAGTTTAAATTCATTTCTTGTTTAAAGGGAAGAAACTGCTGAATTCACTACTATGTTAAATGTATTAAAAGGTTTTTCCTACATGATGATTTTATTTTCCACGTTTCAGTTTCTTTAAGCATCTACAGAAAAAGGTTGTTCCTTTATACCTTAAATGAATATATTAAATGAAAAAATCATATTTCTGTGAGCTCATGCTAAGCAAGAATGATATGGGTCTGCCACATCCTTGTGAGATGGAAAGATTTCAGTCTCCAGTCTGCTCTAGAGCTGCATAAATGGGATGAGATAAGAGCTTCTGGTGCCATATCAGCTTGTTGCAAAGCAGAAATGAAACCAACTGGCCGAGAAAAATTAAGACTGGTAACACTTTAGAGAGTCAAACATAGGAATGGCCTGAGAAGACTGACAATGGAGTAACCCAGCACTGTGCAAACAGGACGCACGAGAGCCTTCCACATACAAACACAGGCTTTAGCCGTCAAAATATAGGAAATAGTTTTATTGCTGGCTCTAAAGAACTTTTTTCCTATTCTGTAATTTAAAAGTTCACTTGTCCAAATATGCCCCTCAGTTTTGCCAGGTGGAAAGGAAGAGAAAATCATTAAATTCTGTCACCTTGGGCTTTTCTTAATATCCACTGCAATTCTCTTCTCTCTCACATAAACTATTACAGGTTGCTTCAAACCTTTCTTGCTCCACAGTTATCTTCAAATTCTATTTCTCTGGAATTCTATTTGTTTGCATCATGTAGTATGTTATTATTGCTTGTCCTAAATACGTGTAAAAGTCCTCCAAGGCCTTCAAGTGGCTTTGTTTTTCAAAATATACCTACCAAAAGCAGCAAAGAAGTTCCTCTTGCTTTGAACTTATAGTCTCTGAGAACTGTTTAGGAGAACTGGCTAGTGCTCAGAAAACTAAATGTAACAAAAGGAATGAAACAAAAACTGTCCCTCAGACATGTTAAAGCAGATTATTAAGGAAAATAGGTATTTAGTTTTCTGTTACCAAGGTGTCACTGTAAATTGTCACAAACACTAACACAAACAGTAATGCTTAATTAGCATATTAATACTAAAGCAAATTAATCAAATGCCAATTTCATACAAAATTGTTTGTGTACTTTGGTGGGGCTTCTGAAGATTCATTTCTTCTGGTAGTAAGTCTGGAATTCAATGGGAGAAATTATGCCAGAAATAAATATTAAAAGTAAATAACCACTACAGAAAAGCAAATAAATGAAAGACTTCCTTACATTTAACTCTTGCTCACTGCTCATTTTCCTCTCGTTTTCCTTTTTCAGTGTTAAGGGAAAATCCCCCAAGAGAAGCTCTGCAGCTTCCTAGTGTTACCCTACCCAGTGAACAGGAATGCATTTGACTGAACCCACTAATGGTGTCACATTTTCCCAAGTTTTCATAAGATAATAACTCATTATCCTTCACCCTCCTCTCACATTTGTCTTACCACATATAAAACATCTTGTCTTTCACACCCTCCTCCTTTGCCCTCCATCCCTTTGTGTCTCACCTGGAAGTTTGGGGATGTAAGTGTCCTCCACTGGCAACACTTGGGAAACAAGATTAAAAGTATCTCAGATTGATTCTAGCACTATTTCTTTGGTCTTTGTAGTAAAATGAGGAATACAGTCACAGAGAAGTAAAAGTGCCTGACATTAGGTATTAAAATACTCCAAAGGCATCTGCCACAGTCAAGTTTCAAAAAACAATTTTAAAACAAGGGACTGAATCTCAGAAAACTTTAGCTGTGTCTGAGGATGTGTAAAGTGTCAAATTCAAATGGGTAGACAGAAATTCCAGATAGAATGATTTGAGTCATTCAGGCACACAGAGCTGTGTGTGTTGTATTTAAAAGGCAGCATGACAAGATTTATTGGCTGATATTAATAGAAAAGAAGATTAATTACTTGACATGTGGCAATGAAACTGCACTTAAACTATCAGAAACCAAATAAAATGTCTTACTTAAAATAGGGATGTATGAAAAATAAGATTAGGCAGCATTAGAAACTGACAAAAAGCTGGCAGCCAGAATTACCGGAGATGTCAGTCAGGATGCACATCAGGGATAGTCATGTCATTCATGGCAGAGAAACCTGCCTCTGAAGTCACAGAATCCTGGAATTGTTAAGGCTGGAAAAGCCCTCAAGACCACTGAGTCCAACCAGTAACCCAGCACTAGAACATGGCCCCAAGTGCCCCATCCACACGTCCTTTGAGCACTTACAGGGTTGGTGACTGGCCCAACTCATCATTTCAGCCTGATTTGTGACAGAGCAGCACTACTGAAGCAGCAGGAGGATGAAACCATTCCCTAGCCTAGGAAACATATCCCTCACACTAATTAATTAATTCCTCACTTATTTCAGGCATCCAGTGCGGATGTCAGCTCCAAGGTGCACTGTTCCCTCTGAGAAGGGAATCAGTGCTGCCTCAGCTCAGACAAGCCCTGTTCTCCACCCTCCACCAGCTCCCAGGCTGCAGCTGCTGCTTCTTCTCAGTAAGTAAGCTCCAAAAAATTTCTCCTTTCCTTCCCTGCATAATCCCAGAAGTGGAAACAGGGCTAAAATCATGAGAGAATGTCCAGTTAATGTTCTGGCTAGGAATGGTTCTGCTATAAAACAGACATCTAGAATCAGTCATTTTTATAGCAAGCTGCCAAGCCCTTCTGCTTGAGAAACTCTGTTCCCCGTCGAGGAGGGGCCCTAGACGGGATCTGTAGCATCACATACAAACACATCCATCTGCTCCTGGAGTTCCTACAGCCACCTCTGCCCAGGATGGGGAAAGCTGCTGCAGGCAAACAGCATTCTGACTTTGCTGCCAAGCTGGGTTAAGCTTTCAGAAAGTGCATAGACAATGCTGTAGGCAACCCAGACACCAAAGAAGGATTCTTTAATGCAGAAAGCCCTTGTACTTGTAAGGCTTCACAAATTAAAGTAAGAAACCAAAACGCAAGTCACACCCTACCCAGACCTAGGCATTGACATCAGGTGTAATATAATGCACAATTTCCATTTCAGCCTTTCAAAATTTCATTTTTAATATGATTTTTACTACATTTTAAGCAAACTGCCTTGAGTAGGGGGTAGAGTCTTTCTAAACTGACCCTGGAGCAGACCAGACATCAAACTGATTCAGACAGAATAATAATTAATTTCCCAGTTCAGTCCTTCTTTAATGGCAAAGAGAAATGTTACTGGACTGTAATTTATGACTTAAAGAGAATTACCAGTTGGTCTCATATTACCTTTCTACTCTTTGCATATCTGAGCAGTAGAATCAGTTATAAAACTACAGTGAAAAAAGTAAATTAAAATCTCTTTTTAACCCTTTATTTCCAGTCCCGCAGGAGCAAAAACAAAATAAAATAATTTAGTTGTAGGAAAACAGATTTGTAAAGGCTGCTCTGAGAGCCAGCTCTGTAATTGCTCCTCATGGCAGTCGAAGTATCCTCACAGGATATTCTGAGTATGCAGCTGCAGCTGCTGCTTTTACTGCACAGTGCTATCAGTGGTTTCCCAGGTTCTCTCCCCCTGCTCAATATGACAGCCAAATTCCTTTTACTATTATTTGCTGTTCAGGGTCCTACTGACCCACCTCCCTAGGAACTGCTCTATCAGATTCCAACAAATAATGATTCCCTCCTAACCCCTTCCTGAAACCTAAGTGCATATTTTAGCTGCCAGTTGCAAAAAACAAAAAAAAGAATCCCTGAGCAAGTAAGGAGCTGCTCAAGCTTAGAGTTCAAGGTTTTCCAGTAGCATTCCTGATTCTTTCTTTCGTTCTTGATGTTACCACCTTGCTCTTCTGTTGCCAAAACATTCTAGCCTGGTGGCATCTCGCTTTTCTCATCTTTTTCTAGGACAGATAAAGTGCCTCTTAGTGAAGACAGATAATGAATAATTAATGTTTCATCTTTTCTTTAGTTTCCCCCAGCTGTCAAAACTGCCACCTGGAACTTTTCATATTAAAACACATTTTATCATTGTATCATAAAAGCATGGAATTGGAACATAAATGATTTTCCTAAGTTTCAAAATTTTTAACCGCATTATTTCACAAGGTTCAGCCAGTGCCACGAAAAGGATCCTCAAACTGCTGATAAAACTTTTACTCTCTTTGCATAAACACTTATTGTACTTGTTTATACACTGAGGTAATGCCAGACTTTCTATATTGAATATCCCATGAAAGCTTTACATTAATATCAGTAAAGAATATTAAAATAAACCCAGCTGTAAAGTAGATCCAAGTGAGTATTGAAACTCTTTCTTGCTTTTCCCAGCCCTCACTGACCTGTCTGGTGCAGGTGGTCTCTGGCCAGCTCAAACAGACGCATGTGCATGTTGGTGGTGGGGTTGAAGGAGCCACAGGCCAGGAGGATGACAGGGATCCTGCACCTCATCCTGACAGCAAAACATGACACCTCTTCCCTGAAGAAAAAAGACATTAAAACAAAAGACAAACCTGAGAAAGAGCAGTCTGCCCTTGCCTCCTGAACTAAAAGGAGCTGTTTCCAGAACTAGATGTTCCCAGAGCGCCAGTGCAGTGTCCAGAGATCAGTCCTGTCCCAGCACTCAGCACCTGCCTGCTCAGGAACACAGCTGGATATTAATTAGGAGAACACCAACACATTCTGCTTCCCCACAGACATGGCTAGAACATACTTCTAGAAATTTACTGTCTTATTATTAAAACCTGACAATTTTTTTACTTTTTAATTTTTAACCTGCTTTTATTAAAGGGAAAGGTATCTCCTTCTCTTTGTGGCCATTGATAATGCTGGAACCCACAAGCCTGCTACAAAATCAGATTTTATTTTTTTTTAAAGAACTTCTTACAGTGAACCTTTACAACACGTGACAAAACTTCACATGCAACACCCAGTGCTAAGGTATGACTTCTTGGAGCTGGGCAGGCAGCACTGGCAAACACTTGCAGCCAGATTATCAGCACTGGTCTGTGTGGTTCCTCTGTTGGGCTGCAGAGCGATGCACAGTGCAGCAACAAGAGGGAGCAGTAGGGAAGAGGAAATCCCTAGGGCATTAAAAAGCTATGAACAGGGGGAATGGGTAGGGAGATATGCTGTGAGGAGCCTTGCAGGGGTGTTTACAGACAACCCTTGTGTACTTTGGTTAACCTGTCAGTCATCCACTAAAAATGTACCAAAAATCAGTTTAACTCCACTGTGCTTGGAGCTATTTACTTGCATAACTCTTTTAAAAACTAATCCGGACTACAACGATAAAAACAATTGTGTCCCATATCCATGTCTGCAAACCCAAAGTATTCTCCTAGAATTCACAATCTCTACATTGCTCACACCTGTGTATCATATAAACACCACTCTCCCTTCCCTGGCCTAGAGCTCTCCCCATCAAATGGAACAGGTATCCTCCAGGAGACACCTGCATCCCAAACTTCAGAACTCGGTCCAAACCGAGCACAGATTGTGTGTTCTGATCAGCCAAATCTCATTCTTCATCTGCACTGTACCTGTAGCTCAGACCCCACTGCTTATTGTTCCCAGTTCTTACAGTCCCTTTTTTCCCCCCACTTTCTCTGACTTATTAAAATTTAATAATCATGGTTAAATCCATGTCAAGTCGATGTTTTATAGCTGCCAACATGATCAGTTCATTTATGGAGGATTTACAACCTGAAGAGTGGGACTGTACCATGGAATAGCACTCAGTGCAACAAGCAGCAAGTATTGTCATTTGTCAGTAATATTGTCACTTTTCAACCTTTGACATTTGAACCTTTTTACCAAGAAAATCCTCTGAAGCATTAAGTGCTATCTGTATCTCCAGCATCTAGTACTGAATACAACCATTGTTTTATAATGTTTTTATTCTACTTTCCTCATTTCTCATCCCTTCCATCACACTCAGGGGCGAAAAGACTTGCTGGCTGTAGAACCACTGGAAGTTAGCAACAGTTTTATGGTCTGTGATGGGAGCAGCTGGAGGAAGCTCCATTCACTGCACCCTGCACCCTACTCCCTCCTCTGGCTTACTCTCCCTGTGCAGACACAAAAACTCACACATGAAAACTGTATGCAAAATGTACAGCTTCTTTATCTGGAAAAAACCAAAAAATGTTCTTCTGTTCAGGATCAGGAATTCTGTAAATGTATCTCCATTGCAGGGAGGAAGGTGTTTCTGCCCTGAAACTGAGCAAAACATCTGCATCTGAATGGAGCTCTCTCAGTGCTGGCTCAGGGCTCTCCTGTGTCCCTCCCTCCTCCCTCCTGCTCTGATCAAGTGCATTTTATATTTCCATAGCTGTCCTTTATTTGCCATCTCAACTGAATGCTTTCTTTTGCTTTGCTTTTAATTCTACAGACTACTCTATTTCTCACCTGAAACAAAGGTGTTGGACGGTTTCATTGCAGCTCTTACTCATTTACACCCTGGAAACTCCAGGGAAAGACTTCAACCTGTGATTTTTAATGACTTGATAGTAGTGATAACAGAAACTCAAAAATCAAACCAACAAAAACAAAACAAAAGAAAAAAAAACTCACAACAAACCAAGACTGTACTAACAGTAAATAAAAATGTAATGAAAAAGCATTTCACGAGGTAGTATACATCTATAAACTCACAAACACCCCATATAGCTATATATAAAGAAATCAGTGGTGTTATTTCTACTATCCCCAAATATGGTGCACTCTTCAAAAGGTCTAGAGCAACTTTTAGTATTTGAAACAAAACTTTCAGATTCATTTGCTATCTCAGCTGGTATTAATTACCTAAGGGGTTTTAAATCACTAGAACACCACTCAAAGTAACAGAAAAAAAAGAGAGTTAACTGATTTTTCAGCCAAGCTCTCTTGAGGAATCAAACACTGGGGAAAGTTTAAACACAGAGTCTGTGTGCCCCACTCTGGGCCTGTGGACCAGCAGCCCTGGGCAAGCAGTGCATTCCCAGAAATGCCAGCCTGCATTTTGGAAAGCTTCTAACAACAGGGACGCCCTGTGGCAGTGCAGAAAAGGGCAGTCACCTTCAGACAGAGAGGCCACACTCAAGCTATAGAAAAAAGGGTTAATGATGGACAAAGTATTATGATTTTTATTAGGTAATTCCTGCAAGTTCTTTTTCTGGTGCCTGTATTCCTACAAAATGTCAATAACAGATGATGTTATGGATGACCACAGTTAAGTTCTGCTGAAAGTCAGTAATTAGACCCATATCTGATTAATTATCAGCAGCAGAATGGAGTGCTGAGCAGGAAAGTCTGATTCATGAGCTGTTAAATTAGTAAACTGGAGAACATGACAGTGATACGTGCACGCTATGAGGCACTCACCCTTGAGGGAACATTTCTGCAAAAAGCAGAAATAAACCAAATCCTAGCACAGGATTAAAGTGTTATATCCTCCTGTGAGGGTGAATCTAGATTAATTTAGAAGAAATTTAGATTTTAACAAGTTCAAAGCTGCCTGATTCCATTCTTTTACTGGGCCACATCGTTACCTCATATAAATTCATGCAGATGCACTGGGACCAGCTGAGTTACACCAAATGACACTAAGAATATTAGAGCTGCGAGGCAGATTTTGAAAGTTGGGAAATAAAAACACATTTAGTAGCTGACCCAAGTCATAGAAGCCACAGTACACAAATATCCCTTAAAAATATTACTGAATATGAGAGTTTCTCATGCTGTTAATAATAAGAACTGCTGCCATACAGAAGTTATTCCAGTCAGGAAGTTCCCAGCATTTGCTGTCACCAAAACCAACCCTCCACAACGGTGACAAACATTTACCTGTATATCCTCACCTTCCCTTTAATAATGGGCATATGTACCTGGGTGAGGAAAAATGGAAAATCCATAATCTGGGACTGTATTTTATTTACTCATCAGAAAGTTATTCACTCCAGCCACAAAGGATTTTGCAAGGAGCACATATGTATTACACACAGCCCAATGTGATGCTGTAACCCTCCAAAACAGCTTTTTCAGGGCCGCACAGTAAGTCATATTATTATTAAATTCCAGTGATTCAGGTGAGCCCCATTTATTTGACTTTCACTGAAAGCCATGACAGGATACATGATTTCCTATCAGATTCACCAGATCACAACCATGAAGCTGCTCCTTCCAATGCCCACACCAGCCTTTTAGTCAGAGCACACAAGACAAGATTTTCAGAGAAATCCCAAGATCTGCTCCCCTCCTACCTACAGTATTCACGAGAGCAGCAATTTATCCAAGTCTATAAAAATCATCTGGGCTTTTTCACGTGTAACACTGCAGATGGCTCAAAACACAGCAAATGCTGCCTTTAACAATGCACAGGGGGTTTTGCCTGAGACAGACTGCTCGCTTTGGGGGTACTCACTATTTCTTCTTCCTCCCTGTCCAGGTTGCAATTTTCCCAGGAAAACAAAAAATTCTCTGTGAACAAGTCACCTCATGGGAAACTTGTCCAAATTCCAAGTGTCCTGGTGGCAACCAGAGAAAGCAGCCTCAGCAGAAGCATCTCCTCCTCTCCTGAGATTATAATCACAGCACAACACTCTTGCCATTCCTTTAAGAACCAACAAAACCTCTCTATCAGTTATATTTCTGAAATCAACCTAAACACGACTTATGGTTCCATGTACTTGGAATGAGTTTTTTCTTCTGAATGAAACCACTTCTGTTTTCAACTTCCAATCCCAACTCTTTCTGCTCCACTGCTACAGAGAATCAGCAGTTCAAAGGGACTAAAGAAAATTCACCACAAAGAGCTCACACTAACAAAGCACAACAAATATATATATAAATAAGAAAGATAATTATTATAATATAAATAATCAATTGAGCACAGGACTCATGCAGTCTGAAACACATACAAATATTGAACCTCCAGCTAATAATGAACACAGCATTGCCTTCAACAATTTTGAATTCTGAAAAATTTGAGCAGAACTATTGCTTATTAGCACAAGGTCACAAAGATTATGTTCTCAACACATTTTTTTTAAGCCTGAGAGTTGCTGCAAGTTTATAACTAGTTTATAACTAGACTTCCACAGTGACGCACAAGAGTGCCTGGTCCCAGAGTCCAGCCAATAAATTATCCACAGCGATATTCCCACGATAATATGATATATTTTTCTTAGTGTTCTTAAGTATATTATATATTATTCATATCCTTAATCATCTTGCAAAATAATCACGCTTACAGGCTGCCCATTGCCTGAACAGCAACAAGGAATACAACAACTCAGCAGCATGGAATTCAGAAACCACCATTCGTGCACATCAACAGTAAACTCCCATATATTTAACATCCCTATTTGTGCATTTACTAAATATTCTGAGGTTATTTCAGATTTTCTCCTGTCCTTAAACAGCAAACATGTAAAGACAACAACAGCATGTCCTTAATGTTCTTTTTATGTATTAGGGAAAACAATGAAATAATCCCATTTTGTACAAATGGTATTAATTACATTCTAACTGCTCATACAACACTTGACAAGACTTGAGACATTGAGCTCTGCAGCAGTTTCATGTGGTTACAAGGCAGTGATAAATCCACTAACCCAGAACCATGCAGAAAGTAAGTAAAAAAACCAACCAGACTGGCCAACACCTGGTACCCAGTGTTAGCTGGGTAGTGCAGGATCTCACTGGCCTCACACACCACTGCCTGCACAGTTCTGCAGCATTTCCACAACTCAAGGGAATACAACCATCTCCTGGTACCTTCTATTTCCCACAGTATGAACTTTATAATTACTGCTCCAATAATCCCTAGTGATCCCTTCCTATTTTTGTGCCCATATCACACTAATAAATAAGATTTTCTTCTTCTACAGTTGTCTAACCTATTCTAAGTAAAGGCAGTAGCCCTTCTGTTTGCATGTACAAGTCAGTCATCCACAATGCACAATATATTGGTTTACAGAAAAGGAGGATTCATGCAGAACTGCAACTCTGGGAGTCTATTTTTAAGCAAACAAACTACTGATTTAGTGAAAGCACCAACTTGGCTGTCAAAACAAACTCTTGCTAAAACTTCAAGAACTCCTGCAGAGAAGCCATTCAAAGTGATTTTTTGTCTATCAACATCTCTAATTTTCTTTCAACTAGCAAAACACAGCGTATCCTAAGGCAAATCTCAGAAACTGAGCTCGCACACAAATGGAAGATAAATTTAAGTGGTAAACATCTTCAATGATAAAAATCTGCTCTTATAAAGCTGGTTTTAAAAGGGAGCAAGCTAATGAAACCCCTAGCAGTACCACTGCAGAACACTCAGATGCAAAATAATCATATATAGCATCCATGGCGTGAGGCAGGATTTCCATAACACAGAGCAAGACCTGCCTGTGCCAGATCACTGGGCTGAACAGCATTTCTTATGTTTTTGAAGTTCCCCATTATACTTTGAGTCTGTATGGCTAATTTCTTCATTTCTGCTAGTTATCATTCAGAAAATGCAGAGTGCTCGGTGAGCAGAGTGACATGCACACAACTCTGAGTGGTAATTGCACTAAATCAGCAATGTGGTGGGGAAAGATGCAGATGTGCAGCTGGCTGGGGAGACTGCAGCAGTTCTGCAGTGGCACCTGCTGGGCCAGGACAGGCAGCTGGGCTTTGACAGCTGCACCCGGCCAACTTCACCTGCTGCAGGTGCAGCAGCAGCAACTGAAACATTGAATGAATGAAACCCTTGGAAATCATCTCTGCTGTGAGATCCAGTTTGTCTCATTAAATTATTTTAAAAGGCTCAAATTCCCCTCGGACAGCACTGTCACCTGTTGTGTCCTCAGTGCCCCCCACAGGTATCTCTGGACTTCCCAAAGGTCTTTGAGATCATCCAAATGCTAGATTGTCACAGGTAGACTAAATTCTAAAATTCGCATTTCTGAAGTTAAAGGCACGAAGGCAGTTTGCTGCTACAATCACACAGCGGAACCAGACTTCAGTAGCAAAACACGTCTGGAAAACGAACTGGATTGTATTGCTGCAAAGCTTAAAGAAAACAAACATCACGCATTGTTTATAAAATCAAACAGCAGCTGCTGTAACCTCTTATGGCCGGAGGGAAAGACGAGTAAATTACGCGGTGCAAGCCAGACGGATTGGAATAAACAAAATGTAACTCTACGTGCGGTTGTCCTGTTTAACTCTCACTGCACTCGGCTAGGTGTTGGGGGAGAAGGGAAAAAAAGCTTTCTGTTTTAAACACACACACACACACACACACACACACACACACACACACACACACACAAGTAAATGTGATATATATTTATGTCTATATGGTGGTGGATGTGCATTTATCGAGTGCGTGGCGTGGCCAGCCCGGCAGCACCGGCCGCGAGTTTGAGGCCTGCCCGCGGAGCCCACAGAGCCCGCGGTGCCCACAGAGCCCGCGGTGCCCACAGAGCCCACGGAGCCCACGGAGCCCGCGGTGCCCACGGAGCCCGCGGAGCCCACGGAGCCCGCGGTGCCCACAGAGCCCGCGGAGCCCACAGAGCCCGCGGTGCCCACGGAGCCCGCGGAGCCCACGGAACCCGCGGTGCCCACGGAACCCGCGGTGCCCACGGAGCCCGCGGTGCCCACAGAGCCCACGGAGCCCGCGGTGCCCACAGAGCCCACGGAGCCCGCCGTGCCCGCGGTGCCCAGAGCCCGCGGTGCCCACAGCCGCTCCCAGCGGGATCCGCTCGGCTCCTCCCGGCTCCCCTCCGTCCTCCCGTGCTTACCGCGGGACAAGCGGGGCCTCCCCCGGCGCTGCTCCACACGGCAGCCGGGCCTCCTCACACAGGAGGTGTATTTTTATTGTGTCACCTCAAGGTGACCTCCCAAACTTTCGGCTTCCTGCCGTTAGTAAGGAAGGCCCTGAGGCGCCGGAGGTGTGCTGACAGCGTGGGGAAGGTGGGCGTGGAGTAATGAATGCGTGGAAAAATTCACAGCACCGGAGGTTTGCGTCTAAAAAGGTAACTTCCTTGAAATAAAGAGAGAGGCCATGGGGCATTTCCCATGGGGGTCTTTCAAAAGGTTGGGGGACACAGCCCCATTTTTGTCCTGATTTCCCATCCACATCAGCCTCTTGCTCTCCCCATGGGCCGAGGTTCTCGCAAGGTACAGACTTCCAAATCCTGTACTCTATGTCCACCTCTACTATGTACCACCCCCCCCCCGCCATTTTTCTTTTATGTAACAAAATACTGTTCATAATTCTATTAAATATTTTTTTTTTCTTTATAAGTTAAGGAATTTAACACGGCCTTGGCTGACCAACAGTCCGTGCCAGTTAGTAGTGTTTTCTAGAACAGGTATCTAGAACATCACTTCCCTATGTGTAAGTCCCTGGCCCTATCTACAAGCAGTTTCACACCGTGTGTTTGGAAAGACACAGTCATCTTACTCCTTTCATGAAGCTCAGCTTTCTCTCTGTCAAATGGCCTCACACAGTCATTTCCTTCTTCAGCCATGGAATGTTTTGCAAAATACACCAATGCCATGGAAAGGGTGTTAAATAGATATTGCAAAAGGTGAAATCCAGAGAGTTTTAAATAATTTAAATAATTAAATATTTAATTCTTAGGCATATAAAATCCAGTTTCTTGAGATGTCAGATGTCACCAGGTAGGATTAGAGTCCACCACAAACATCTTAGTTTTTGAACTGTTGGAAGGGAAACATAAATGTTCCTCTGGTCTGACATTATGATAAAAAGTAAATAGGATTGTGGAATGCATTTTTAAGCTCTTCTGTGTGAAATGCACATGCAAATGATGAAGCTTCACTCCTGCACAGAGGCCATTAGATGTACTTCAGATCTTTCATTGCCCCTGCTGAAAGTTGGCAAAGAGATGGTTTTGGCAGTGGGGCTTTGGCTTCAGACTGGGAGCAGAGTTTGCACTTTTGAGGTTTAGCTTCAGGAGGATAAATAGGCAGTGTGGGGAGTGCTGAAATTGAATTGAAATTGTGTCTGGCTGTGTATTTCTCCATGACATTTTCATGCATGTCTTTGGTCCTGCTCTGTTCACATAGTTTCATTTTTCATAGACTACAACTTGCAATTTGAGCTATTAGGGAACTATTATTGTTAGTGGCAGGGTGACTTTTGTCATTGTATAAAACAGGAAGAGTGTTGGACAAAGACTACACGAGCAATTTCTTCCACATAAGAAGTCCAGACTGTAGATGCTTAACTTTTAAAAGTTGTGGGATTATATAATGATGAAAAGCCAGATTGGCAGTTCTGAAATAACCTTTCTTACAAAAGGATCTAGAACTTTGTAGAAAAAGCAATTCCCAACTCCATCTGAGAGACAAAAGTCCATTTTAAAAAACTTTGTGACACTGACATCCTGTGCATAATGGACCGCTTACTTTGGCTGACCAGGCTTACTAAACATATGAAGTTTTCCCTGAAAAGTGGTAGCTAGGATTAAAACCTCCTCTTTCTAGAGTTTGAATTGCTGTTACATGTTTTGTCAATACATAAGATTCCCCATAAAAGGAAAGATTTCATTTATAGAAAAGACAACCAATCCAAAGGTTAAATCTTGTGCATCAGGTTGGATGAACTGGTGAGTGGGCACAAATGAATGTGGCTCCACCGATCCCACTGGGAGCTGTTCTGTGCTGGCTCAGGTTCTGTCCTTCACAGTTTTGTTGTAAACTGAATCACAGGTGTAGAAATAAGCATTTCTGGCTTTAAACATAAGGTTTCCACTTCACATTAGTTTTTAAGAAACTGTTTAATAAATAAAATGCTTTAGAACTGAGAATAATTTGCTGAAGGTAACAGCACTGGGTGTGATCCTAAGCTGAGTTCTCCGCTGAGCCCTCTGGAAGTGGGTGAAATTGCAAAGCATGCCTGAAGTGCAGTGGTGTAAAAGGGATGATGTGGGCAGAGATGAGTATCAGACAAGAAGGTGTACAAGAGCTGAAGTGCTGAGATGTTCCTCTGCAAGGAAGAACAAATGACCACAGAAAGTTCCCCAGCAATAATGAAAAATGGGCTAATTAAAACCTGTCTTCTGGCAACCAAATGAAGACAAAGTTACTGCTGCAGAATCATGTGATGTTCTGACAATTTCCTAAAGAGAAGGGTAAACACTGGACTGGCTTCTACTCTTTATCACAGAATTATTTTCATGGGTTTCTGGCCTAGTTTCAGGGGGAATTTGAAGCAACATGTTATTTTGTTACTCTTACATTAGTATTAAGTCAAACATTAGTCAGAATACTCATGTCAAGGTGTGAAACTGAGTATGGAATTCCAAGCCAAAGTTGTTCCACATGTTGTGAATTGGTTTTTGAAAGAAAATTTGGCATTTAATGCAGTTCTTGAGACACAAAACTCCCAGGGTCTTACACAAGTTATGCACACTGAGGCTGTAGAATTAGGGCTTGTAATTGTAAATTAATAAAAAATCTTTTAGTTCTTGGCATCTGCTCTGTTCTGATGTGTCCAGATCTGAAGAAATGAGATGAGATGGACAAGAGACACAAGAGAAGTGTTCATTAACCTTTCCCCTCCATAACAGAGTTGGAGATCATTAACTTGAAGCTTTGGTGATATTCACATAGCTTCATCTATACACAAGTAAAGGAAATACACAGCTTTTATCTTGAAATTACTTGAGTACTGCAGTTATAGCTACTTTGAACATTATATTGAATATCACACTTACGGGTGGGCAAGAAAATGTTAACTTCCTGCAGATGAAAATCATTCCGTTGGTTGATTGCTGTTGAAATTAAAGGCAAACATTAGCAAATCCATTATTACTGAGACAAGCAGCAGGAATCAAAAGGCTAAACTGCAGTACAGAAACAAAGCAAAGAAGCTCCGGTGTGCTGATTCTTCTGAAGCCACAGAAGATAAATGAGCTGAGGTAGAGACAGGGTAGAATACAAAGCTTTGTCTGAAAGCTAAGGAAAAAAACCCAAATCAACTTTAAAAGATTAAAAAACAATCATAAAACTTTTAAACTTGGCTGCAAGGAAGACTTATCTAGAAGATAAAATACAAACAGAGAAAGGGAGATAAACAAAATTTTTCACTTGTTTTGGGTTCCATAACCATCAAAACAGTCTTTTTTTTTCTTTTTTTTTTTGGTCACAGGTGAACAGAATGAAATGTTTGGTTCATTTCTTTCTGTGCTTAGAGAGTCTCTCAGACATGCATTTTAAATTGCTTTGGGTTCTTTTTTTTCTTCCTCTCCTTAATCCTCCATTGTTTGTAAAGTTATGCCAATGTGTATCAATCATTTTTGTCATTTCCTTTACTTGCTTGTATTTTGAATTTCAGTGGAGCTAAAATAACTTATTTTGTTTGCATAATGTTTCTGAAGACATTCCATATTATCATTCCAGCACAGTAAGTGCTATTACTGGCTGATACAATCTTGCAGTTGTTTGGTATTTTAATCACAATTAAAAACAATTTAATTAACAGGGTTGTGTCTGGAGGTAGCAACAACAACAACATATAACCAGTCCAACAAAAATTTTGTAAGGTCATTTAAAATCAATTTTTTAATATAAGAAATTTGATATTGTTTTTTCAAGTGGATTTTATTAAAGTATTTAGCACCTTACTTTTCATTCATGGATTCTTTGGGATCTTTGTTGGTGAAGGTTAGTGTGGTGCTGTGTTCTTCTGTAAACTATGGAATTTGACTGCAGGTATTTCTAATAATTGCACTGGAAATCACAGCACCATTTTTGTCAAATGTCAGCTTTCCTATACCTAAAGCCTCTGTATCATTGGAAGTTTGAGATTTAAGATTTCTGCTGAGCTGAAAGTGGGAGTAATCCCATTATCAGAAGGAAACCATTCCCGTTTTCTTGGTATGGTTCTGTTCTAATTCAGAAAGGAGCAAGACAAAAAAATACTGCCACTGTGATGTGTGATACATTTCTGCATAGCAAAGGTGCTGTGACATCCCCATCATGGAACATGGGTAGCCCAGCAGAGTCAGAACTTCTCACTGGTACTTGCTGGATTCCGTGTGCCCTGTGCTGATGATTTTAATTAAACTGCTTTTAGTTCAAACATGGCAGGAGTCAATATGGAAATGCATCGTTGTAGCATATTTGTTCTGATAATGTTCTGACTGCGGAGTGCTCACTGATCCCTTGCACAGGTAGGGAAGAGAGAAAGGAGATGAGTCCAGGACTGGAAAGCCTTTCGGTTTTCATAAAATTGAGTATTTGACACATTTCCCTTTGGAAAAGATACAGAGAGGATTTTGTGTTCTTTCAATGCAGAACAAAGACTAATTTCAAACCTTGAAGGTTTGTTGTGAAACAGAGCTGTCATTTTTTGGAGCTCTGTAATTTTTAGAATAGCTTCTCTGTAACACCAAATTGTGTAACGTAGAAAAACTGGCGATAAGATGTGGATTTCATTATTGCTTTTCTGAGAGGAATTGCTATAAAGGCATATCATTTCCCCACTCAGAAGCAGAGGTACTCCAGCCTTTGCTTCTTCTGTCACAGCCACACAGGTTTGCTGAAATACTCAAATTTGTTGCTATTTTCTGATAGAAAACCTTACAGGGTTTTCCCCCCACCATGTAACTTTCTTTTCCTCTCCTGGAGTTGTCAGGAGGAAATAGAATTTTTCTCTTCCTCTAACTGATCTCCAGTTGGCACAGTGGGGTTTGTGTTTTGGGGAGGCACTGTGGGGTCACAGGGATTTCCCACAGGGAATTCTGTCTGTGCCCACCCAGTGCTGGTGCTCTGGCTCTCAGCAATGTCACCAAGCCATGGCAGGTCAGCTGCTGCCCTCCCTGGGGACCTGGTAC